TCTCTCTCTCTCTCTCTCTCTCTCTCTCTCTCTCTCTCTCTCTCTCTTTCTCTCTTTCTCTCTCTCTCTCTCTCTCCCTCCCTCCCCCCCCCTCTCTCTCACACACACACTCTTTATCTAATCTGAAGAAAATTAATTCTGGAACTTTTATTTATGTTATGTATCTGATTTATGTCGGATAAATCTGACATTCCTGAACTTTTTCACCCTTCAGAAGTTGGATGCAGATAACAAAACTGTCTTTGCTATCTTTGAAATTTGGCTTTAGGAAAAAAATAATTTTGTTTCTCACCTGAAGCCACGAGAAGATATCTACCATGCTCTGCTTAGCCACAGTGTCCACAATGCCTTGGCTATATTGAAGCATGGACTCAAACTCAGGATCTCCAGGCTGGTAGGATGAATTAAAACAAAGGGAGCACACTACATTTGTAACAGCACGTGTTAATTCAGGACCCATGTCCAAAGATGAATTCTCTGTAGCACTCAAAGTTGCACACAGAAAAGTTGCTTGTTGAGAGACTGCAAGAAAAGCACAAGAGAGCAAATCTATGCAAAAAGAAAGAATTATTTTAGAAACAGGAAGAATGGAGATGGGAATTAGGGAGAAACAGAAATATTTTAACCCAAGATACCTGTAGATAGGTTCCCCAGATAACACTGTGGTTATCCAGGAAATATATTCCACCTGATTAATTTTTCATCATGGATAAATCAATCACTTCAATCTTTAATGCCCCAGTTGTAATAAAGGCAAACTATATATAGTAAGGCTATGTTTACATGACCTAGTGAACACCAAATGAACCAACCACACTTAACTTTATGTGTCTTTTTAAAAATCTTTTTACTACCCTTTAATCTCTTTGTTTTGGGTGGAGTTCGGGCAACTGAGTGGATCTGAGCCTTTATTGGGCCTATGCCTACGCAGAGTTTTCTTTGAGCCCTGATAAACATCTGCCACTGCCTAGGATCTCAACCTTCCAAAAGTGAGGTGAGTGTCTTCACCTCTAGGCTACCGTGCTGCTCTAATTGTATGTGTTATATGAACTCCCAAAATTAAATTAAATAAAACATTATTAAGTTACAAGAAATAATTGTGCCATGTAAAAGTAGCCTAGAACATCTGATGGACATGAAGTTCCATTGAACTGCATTCTGCCTTAGACGAGATCAAAGAAAAACTTGTAAAGTGCTTTAATAATCAATATCTTGGCTACAACCTGACTTAATAATTGCAATTTACTCTATATATGGCCCACTGTCAAAATTTTATTTATTTACTTATTCCATTTTGATGCCACCAAATTCAAATGAGACAAGTTGATGCTTATACTGAAAGATTGATTATCAGATGCTTCGCAAACACAACTTATGGTGTTTAAACTGTATTCCTGAATCACATAGGTTCAGATTACGTAAATTGGTATGACTCCAATTAGTCAGCCTTGCCATTTTCCAGGATAGAGTACTTCATCCTATTGTCTTCCCTTTCCTTCTTTCTTGTGGCATTTACATTCAGTCATAAAAAAAAGTCTCTAATTTTTATGCACTTGGAAAATCTTGGAGTTCTACAAAATCTGTCAATATTCTCATCTTCTGTATTTATTGTACCATATATATCCAGCCCTCAAGACAATTTAATTTGGTATTTGTACAGGTAGTCCTTGTCTTGTGACCACAACTGAGCCCCGAGTTTATGTTGCTAAGTGAGAAATTAGTTAACTGAGTTTTGTCCCATTTCACGACTTTTCTGGCCCCATTTGTTAAGTGAATCACTGTTGACTGTCAGAAGGTCGCAAAAGATGACCACATGACCCTGGGACACTGCAAATGTCAGAAATATGAACCAGTTGTCAAACATCCAAATGTAAATTGCAGGATCATGGGGATACTGAAATGGTCATAAATAAAAAATGGTCGTCATTTTTTTTCCACTATATGTAAGTGTAAAAATTGGCTGTGCAGAAATATGCAGAAACGTGCAGAAAATCTACTGTTGCTAAAATGGAAGGTTGTTGAGGATTCTAGCTGGCCATTATTCCAAAGCCAACAGTCACATCATATTCAATAACTAATGTGCTTGCTCAATTTCCACTGAGCACTGCTTTCAGACTTAGGTCCTACCAAGCACTATCTTCTGAGATGGGATTTTTATTTTCATTTTTTCACACTAGCGGCCTGAACTTTTTGTGGTTTCACATGCAAGCAACAACCAGGCCTGACCTTACTTATCATTCAAGCCCAGACAGTTGCCCAGGTGCTGCCTGAGATGACTTTCCAACAATTGTCCTCAACAGAAACTCATGTACTATCTTTCAAATACAAATTTGGAGACTAAATTGAACTATATACTAACTTTTAATCAAACCATTGAATTTTTAAAGTAACTAAATATGGCATTGTGCTATGTAATTTAAAAACTTATCTGATTTTGTACCAAGAGAAAATGATTTCCTACAACACATTTCTTTAGTCAGTTTGCAAACATATACAGATTCTCACCCCTAAGTTGCAGTGAAGGACAAAATATTACTGCAGTTTCCATTCCTAGCTTGATTTTTTTTCATGCTACTTTTATCAAATGAAATTCAGCAATATCGTACCACACATCCGTTCAGGCAGGCTTTTTTTGGTATGATGTGTGGACAAGAATAATAACTGTTGTATAAAAGAATGCTCAGAATCACACTTTCTGTATCCTACGATCTTTCTTCCCCTCTTAAGATATACCCTGAAGCTATCTATAACATAAACTTAACTCGTTAATGCATACCTATGAAGGACAAAAGCATTTCAATAACTCTATAGCCCTTTGCTCCAGCAACCATGTTTTTTCTACTCATTGTTTGAAAATACAATGTATACCTTTTGTTTTATCTCTTTTGCAACTCTCAGAAAGAGCATCAACCTGCAGATAAATGCTTTCCCAGGTAATCTCAGTATAAAAAAGGCCAGAGAAAGCAAAGTAAATTATTTCCTTTGCTTTATGTTAACCAAGAATATTCATATGAGCAAACTGATCATATCAATGTCATAATTCTTACTTGAAATAAGTAAAAGTTTGGATTAAAACTATGATACCCATTCTACTCAAGAGCAACTGTTATCTCAGAATAAACTAACTGCCAAGGTTATAGGATACAGGCAGTTTTAAACTAAACATAGTTACTTTCTTTGCCCATGTTTAAGATCATTATTGATTAGATTTTTTTAGGTGGCTATAAGTTTATATGACTAAACATTTGTTAGATACTATAAGTTTTTAGTTTTTCCAGGTTTTTTATCTACCTATCTTAAATATCTTAATACACTTAAATATCTGTTCTGGACCATCTTCTTATGCAGTTTAGGTTATTTTTCATGCAAACAATATAAACAGTCTTTAAGGTACATGCACTGTGATGCATAAAGTTTCCAGGATGGGAACATTGGCTTTAAAACAAAATGCTCAATAGGCAGCAAACTGGAGTTTAAGCCTGTATCATAACACTTAAATCAGAGGTGTCCAAAGATAGGTTAAAAAAAAGTCAAGATAGTGGGTCATAATTGCATGGTTTCAGCCATTGTTTTGACTTTTAACCTGCAGGTGTCCTTAATTTAGATAATATGTTTCTACACCCAAGAAGAGTAGATTCAACTAATCTTTGTTTACAAATATATTGCTAGTGTTTCTCTCCTTGGTTTTGGGGCTCTTTCATTACTATTTGTGGGCAACTCACTGGTTTTCTCCAGACTCCGAGATCCTTCACCAAACAGGGAAAGTGCAGAATGTACCATCTTGCGCTGAAATTTCCACATTGGGCTATAAGTAGCAAAGGCAATGTCTTTTCCATTCCGGGTCAACAAGTCTGTAGTAACCTAGGAGGATGCAGAGGAAGAGAAATAACTGAGTTTTCATCCAAACACCTTATAATGCATTCAGTGAGATTATCATTTGATTGACATTTGGAGGGAAGAAAAACACACACACATATATATATATACCACTTCCCCAATGATCTCATTGCTGCCTTGGATGATTACTTGTGCATCTAATTCATTCACCCGCAATGGTCTTAAAAGACATTTCCAGAAAGCAATAGTTTAGGGAGCTTTTTTGCTCCGATAAGAGAGGATGGATAATGGGAGAGATGTATACAGTTATGCCAAATATAAAGAATACAGAAAAATGCTTCCTACCTCCTTTGCAATACTGGAACTTGGTTTCAGCGAATAAAGAGAATGTATAGAGAAGGAGCAAAGGCTACTTTGGAGCTAGTGGTTAAGACATGAGGCTAGAAGCCAGAAGACTGTGAGTTCTAGTTCCACCTTAGGCACAAAGCCAATTGGGTGATCTTGGGCTAGTCATTCCCTCTCAGCACTAGGAAGCACTTCCAAAATCTTGCCAGGAAAACTTCCAGGATAGTCCAGGCAGTCACCAGGAATCAACATTGACAGGAAGGGACCAAACAAAAAGGGGGGGGGGGAACGGAGAGGAGGGGGATGCTCAAGATACACAGAATGAAGCACTTCTTCACATAATGTAGCACATCACAGGGCTTTGTTGCCCTTTGTTGATGTGATGTTGACCATTAAATAAGATGGATTTAAAAGACAGAAAAATTAATGGAGGAAATGAAAGCTATTTCAATGTGCTATTTCCAAGATAAGAGCAAAGGATGTGAATTGAAAAGTTACGAGTCTGATGCCTCTTATATTCTTAACTTTGTGGGGATTATAGAAAAACATATAATCTCTGCAGTTCAAATTTTTAAATTTAGGTGCAAATATAATTACCTAGAGCTAGCACAGAAATAATAAGAGTAATATCTTTCCTGGTGGAGTTTGAAATACAGTGTGTTGTACACCATTATGAACTTTTGGAGAAATGGCAGGGTATTAAACAAATAAACAATAAATGGGAGTGAAACCATCTTCAGTGTGAACTATTTTGATCTGAGGTTTACCTATCCTATCTGAATAGGATAATCTCCGAGCAAGGAAAAATATTGGGTTTAATTATTTAGAGAGAGCATGTAAGCATTTCAGACTATACGTGTCTTTATGCTACTTTTTTCATAAATATCTCTAAACTGGGGACGGAGGACTTATGCATATCTAAGTGATATATTTGAATGGCTCATGAAAAGAATTCTAAATCACATAGCTGAAAGAACAATATATCTTAATAGCAATGGTATCCATATTCTAGTTTTGTTATAATTTCTCAGTATTGTTCAGTATTCATTTCTTGAAATAAATTGTGCAGTCATGTAATATATTTTATAAAAAATATTACTCAAAACATTCTAAAGTGATACAAGTCAACAGGAAAGTGACCTGAAGAATACTTTCAAAGAATAAGTTCATAATAAAATGATACTTGCATTAATTTATGACTTTGTTCCCGGTGCATTTTGGGACTTTCATCAGATGAACATTCATTTCTAAAGTTTCCTAATAAATTATCCGCACAACCTTATCTAAGAAATTTAAATCAACTGAAATTTGTTTATTTGATTTTGTAACTGTAACTCAAGATGGCAACCACACCTAATACTTCTTCCTCCTCCTTTCTTTCCCCCACAATAACAACCCTGAGAAATGGATTGCTCTGAGAGAGACTGATGGGCTCAAACTCACTTGGCCAGCTTTTTATTTATTTATTTATTTATTTATTTATTTATTTATTTATTTATTTATTTATTTATTTATTTGATTTGCCAATTGTTTACAAGATAATAAGTATAAGTGTATACATAGATGTGAATACATGAAATGGGTACATATAAGAAAAATAAAAGAAGAATAAGAGAAACAATAGGACAGGGACGGTAGGCATGTTGGTGCGCTTATGCACGCCCCCTCCTGTCTTATGCCTGAGACAGGACTGTAACTCACAGTCTCCTGTTTTCTAGGCCCTGGCATTGACTGAAGCTGTATGAAGAGCGAGAAACTAACTCATAAATATTAACATGGATAGTTTGCTTACCACTCGAGGTCTGCCAGCAAAGATCTTCCCTTTCTTAAGCAGCACTTCCTTGGCATGAAGGTAATCGTTGACCACTACTGTGTAATGGGACCCCAGGTATAGGGAGAAGACGCTACCGTACTTTTGCTGCAGTCTGGAAAATAAGAGATGGGGCTGCTTGGAGCCACTTAAATGCAACAGGCTACCAATAACTGGCAGGGAGGGAAGGCTCCTGGGATACTTGAGCTTGGAGTCCAGCTTCCCTCTTGCTCTGCTCCAGAAGGACAGGACAGCCAGCGTCAGGAACAAGACAACCAAGAGAATCATCATTGTCTCTCAGTTGCCTGGAGAATTGGCCAGAGAAAAAGAAGCCAAGTGAAGGAGTCTCTCTGCATTAGCCTACATGTGGACTTTATAAGGGGTCCTAGTGACATCACCTTGCCTGGATGCCGGTTAATCTTTAGCAGATAATATAATCTGGAGCGATTAGCTTTGCTTCCTGCCAAGAAATCAAGAGCAAGCTGCATCTCATTTGAACTGACCCGAACTAAATAAATCATAAAAATGTGTGTCCTTGCAAGAAATACAAAGTTTTTTTTTAACTTTTTTTATACAGCATTAACATTCATACTCTATACTGTTAAAAAGACCTTCAGAGTCAGTATGCCTAAAGCTCCTCAGGATAACAACAATAACAGTATGAACAATAAGAGTAATATTTATTTGGTCAATGACCAGAAGAATTTAAAAGAACAAAAACAGAGTGAAGCAAATAGATACAATAATACACTGAGAACTAGCAATATAAACTGCATAATAATACAGCTATCCTCAATTTGTGATCATTTCTTTAATGACTATTAGAAGTTCTAGCATGCTGAAAAAAGTAACTTACAATCAGTTCTTTCACTTATGATCCTCATAGCAACCCCATGGTCACATGTTCAAAATCCAGGTGTTGGTAACTGGTATATATTTACGATGGTTGTAGAGTCCTGGGATCACATGATTGGCATTTACAACTTTCCCAGGGTGCAGCATTGCCCGTCTCCTGTCCATCCATCTTCAGTTATGTAGAAGGAAGTAAAAGAAACCCTTTTCCACCTCCTTTGCCTGACATTTCTTCTTCAGGAAGAGGCAGCTTCAGACATCTGGTTTCTGTTTAGAACATGGACAAATGCAGCAAAAAATCCTCAATAATCATAAAGAGCTGATTTTGGTTAAAGACATCTATTATGATGGAGAGAAATGTCAAACTTCACATGACATGCAAAGCTGTTTGATTTCCAGCAAGCCATAGTGTGGCTGTGATAGATACTACTGTGTTTCTCATATAATAAAGCCGGGTCTTTTTTTTTTTTTTTTGAGCCCCGAAAAAACGTCAAGGACGTCTTTTCAGGGGTGAATTAATTTCTTTCTCCCCCACCCACGCACCCTCAACTAGGGCGCCCCGCCAGCAGCTATGCCTCACCATTAGCCACTCCTAACGGCCAATCATGGTGGAGCGCAGAGGGCTCCTTTACCCCCACCAAGCGCTGAAGACCCGGGTCAGCGGGCGGGCAGGGATGTCTCGGCAGCGTTTCAGTTTCCATGGTTCCCACTGGTGCTGGCGCCTCTCTCGCCAGCGCCGTCTCCAACAACAGCGTCTGAGTCGCTCCCGCTTTCCCCCCGTCCCCGTAACAACAGGAAAAAAAACATTTTGAGGTATCTGGGAGTGCCGCCCGCTGTGTTTTGGTTTAATCCAGAGCAGCTGGGTGGGTGTGAAAAGAGCTGAGCGAGCGTCTCTGCTGCTGCTACCCTTGGTGCTCAAGCCTCGGGCTCTGCAAGTTTTAAAAAGTCCCGGTGCGCAGCCCGTTCCTGCATTCCAAGTGCCCAGGCCGAGCTGCAGCTGTCCCTCTCTCACCAGCGCCGTCTCCAATAACAGCAGCAGCAGCGGTGGGAACTGTGGAAGTTACGGAGGCAGCTCCCCCCCCAGAAGCGGCTGAAACGCTTCCATGGTTCCCGCCGCTGCTGCCACTGTTGTTGGAGATGCCGTTGGTGAGAGAGGGACAGCTGCAGCTTAGCCTGGGCACTTGGAATGCAGGAACGGGCTGCACACCGGGACTTTTGCAAACTTGCAGAGCCCGAGGCTGGAGCACCAAGGGTAGCAGCAGCAGAGACGCTCGCTCGGCTCTTCTCACGCCCACCCAGCCGCTCAGGATTAAACCAAAACGCAGCGCGCGGTGCTCCCAGGTACCTCAAAATGTTTTTTTTTCCTGTTGTTACGGGGACGGGGGAAAAGCGGGAGCGACTCAGACACTGTTGTTGGAGACGGTGCTGGCGAGAGAGGCACCAGCACTGGTGGGAACCGAGGAAACTACGGAGGCCTGAGAAGTGGCTGAAACACTGCCGGACATCCACGCCGACGCCGCCCGCCTGCTGACCCAAGTCTGCAGCAAAGGCGCTTGGTGGGGGTAAGGTAGCCCTCCATGCTCCACCATGATTGGCTGTTAGGAGCGGATGATGGTGAGGTGTAGCTGCCCGCGGGGCACTCCTAATGGCAAGTTCCCCCCCTCACCTTCCCCCCCCCCAATTTCGCATGTTTTAAACTAGGCCTAAATTTGGAGGGAGGGGCTTAATTTCATTTTATGCCTAGAAAACATGCTGGGTCTTCCTATGGGGGGGGGCGTATTGTTGGAGAAACATGGTAGATGGAAGCCTGGGGTTTTATTTACAGGTAATCCTTGACTTACAACCACAATTGAGCCCAAAATTTCTGGTGCTAAGCAAGACAGTTGAGAAGAGAGTTTTGTCCCATTTTACAACCTTTCTTGCCACAGTTGTTAAGTGAATCACTGCAATTGTTAATTTAGTAACACAATTGTAAAGTGAATCTGGCTTCCCCATTGACTTTGCTAGTCTGAAGGTT